TAAAGTTAGGAGTTACACGTATCATCTTCCCATGCAGGAATATAAACAGTTTAACCTTATTGAATTCCTTATGATTTCTCTTTCCTGGTTACCTTTTTATGTTTCTCTTGAGTCTTGTATTTGAAAGTCAAATTTTCTATTCAGCTCTAGTCTTTTCATCAGGAATACTTGAAAGTGCTTTATTTTGTCCATTTTCCCCCGGAAGGATTATACTCAGTTTTGTTGGGCAGGTGATTCTTGGTTTTAATCCTAGGTCCTTTGCCCTCTGGAATATCATATTTCAAGCCCTCTGATTCTTTAATTCAGAAGCTGCTAATTCTTATGTGATCCTGGCTGTGGCACCACAATAGTTGAATTGTTTCTGGCTGCTTGCAAGATTTTCTTCTTGACCTAGGAGCTCCTGAATTTAGCTATAATATTCCTGGGATTTTTCATTTTGGGATCTCTTTCAAGAGGTGATCAGGGGATTCTTTCCATTTCTGGTTTACCCTCTGGTTCTAGGATATCAGGGCAGTTTTCTTTGATAATTTCTTGAAATATGATATCTCAGCTCTTTTTCTGATTATGGCTTTCAGATAATCCAATTATTCTTAATTATCTTTCCTTGATCTATTTTCAAGGTCAGTTGTTCTGCCAATGATCTATTTCACATTTCTTCTATTTTTTTCATTCTTTTGTGTTATTGTTTCTTGATGTCTCATGAAATCATCAGCTTCCAGTCACCTAATTCTGCTTTTTAAGGAGTTCTTCTCTTCAGTGGATTATTGTGCCCCTTTTGCCATTTAGCCTATTCTGTTTTTTTAAGGTATTATTTTCTTCAGTATTTTTTGTGCCTCCTTCACCAAGCTGTTGACTCTTTCTCATATCACTCTCACTTTTCCCCTCAATTTTTCCACTTCTCTTATTTGATTTTTTAAATCTTTTTTGAGGTCTTCCAAGGAATTCTTTTTGGGTCTGACATCAATTCACATTTTTCTTTGAGGCTTCACATGTCCTCTTTTGAGGATCTTCCCTGTCACCATAGTAACTTTCTATGGTCAGGTTCTTTTTGTTTGCTTGTTTGCTCATTTTTCCAGCCTATTTCTTGACTTTTACATTTTATCTTAAAGTTGGGCTCTGCTCCCAGGATGGAGGGAATACTGTCCCAAGCTTCAGGTTTTTTGTGCTGCTGTTTTAAGAGCTAATTCTGGGGATCTGTAAATTTTCAGGACTTACGGTATGATCTACGAAGAGGTGTGGTCACTGCTCTTCTGGCCTATACTCTGATCTGTGAGTGAACACAAGTACTTTTCTCCACTTTGGAACTTTGACTAGGTCTCCTGTACTCCTGTGTTCACATGCTCTAATGTGCTAGTGCTCCTCCTCACCCTGGGACTATGACCCAGAACCACGGCAATGAAACAGAGTTCTGAACCCCTGGCCAGCAAAGGGTGCCTTGTGATCTTCTGATTGGTTGTCTGACCCACTTACTATCTGTGGGCTGAGATCTCCGGAAGCCACTGCAGCTGCTGCAGCCACTCCAAAGGCCTGCTGCTGGTTTGCTGGGATGCAGTCAGTGCTGCACTGCACTGCACTCCACTCTTATCCCAATGAGACAGACTTTTCCTGCCAACTTTCTAAGTTGTCCTAGGGTAGAAAATCATTTCATCCTGTCCTTTGGTTGGTTCTACTGCTCCAGAATTCATTTTGAAGTATTATTTTAATGTTGTTTGGAAGGAGAACTTGGGAGAGTTCAGGTGAGTCCCTGCCTTTACTCTGCCATCTTGGTTTTGGCCCCTTAAAAGCTCTCTCATTGTTCCTGTGACTACTGTTGTAGTGTAATAGCTCAATTTTATATAGCACTTTGGAGGTTATAAGGTACTTCCCTCCTAGCAATTCCACAAAGGAGCTAACAAACACTATTATTCCCATTTTGCAGATAAGGAAATTGGCTCAGAGAAGTAAAGTTTCCAAATCAGGGTCAAACAGCAAGGAAATGACAGTTAGAACTTGAACCTGAGGCTTCTGATTCCAAGTCCAGTGCTCCTTCTACTACACAGTCTGCCTTTGTTACCCCTTTCCACCATTACTTAAGGTAGTGGTGTCAAACTCAAAATAGAAACAGGGCCACTAAACCATACAGAAGGATCCCTGGGACATAATGACTTAGAAAACCACATATTAACATTATCTATGCCCTATTTTATTTTTCTTTATTTTGTTCAGTGTTTCCCAATTATATCCTCACCTGGTTAAGGCCTCCTGGGACCTGTTGTGGGTCTAGTGTTTGATACGTCTGCTTTAAAGGACTGCAGGGGCAGGCAAGCACTGTGGTATAGAAAGCCTAAGTCTAGGTCCCTACCTCAACACTTAGTAGCCATGTGGCTGTGGACCAATCACCTCACCTTTCTGAGCCTCAGTTTCTACATTTTTAAACTAGAAATAATATTTGTACCCTTGAATGACCAGGTCTGCTAAGTCTATTACACCAGTTGCCTCCTTTAAGAAAAGGGAACAAACTTTCATATGATATGGTACTTCTCTGAAAGAGTCAGTTACGAGAGAACAACTCTGCTATGCATGACCATAGGCACTTCCCCTTTCTGGGCCTCAGTTTCTTCACTTATAGAATAAAGGGGTTAGACTAGATGACTTCTAAGATGCCTTACAGCTTGATAGGAACAGGAGTGGCTTGAATAACCAAAGCTCCACTTAGTAGCTGGTATCCTGGGAAGAGGAACTAGACCTGAAAGACTCGCCAGAGGACCAAGAAAGAGTTCTCTCAAGCAGTGACGTCACACTCAAATAGAAACAGAGGCCATTCAACAGTACCTGAGGATCCCTGGGGCAAATTGACTTCATAACTCACATATTCACATTATCTATGTTCTATTGCATTTTTATTTTGTTAAATACTTCACGGTTACATTTGAAACCAGCCCATTTGACACTTTTGCTCTAAACTATTAAAAATTATGCCATTTTATCATTGAATACTTCAATTTAAATCATTTAACTGCTATGACTTAAAAAAAATAGATCCAGATAATTTGCTGCTTTTGAATTCAGTGAATACCAGTGAATTCATACTATTGTGTAATAGTGTAATGTTGAATGGGAATATTATTTCATATTTTATAGGGTATTATTCTAGGATTTTCATTTTCTTGTCTTTACGTGTCAATCACTTCCCAATAAACAATCCCTCCCTTGACACATGGGACCTTCTCATTTGAAAAAAATGTTAATAAAATGATGAAACACACCCCACTCTTCTCTGTAGAGACCATGGGCATAGAGCAGTGAATATGGTACCAGATCTAGTTACTGTGCTGCGTGGTGTTGCTTAATTGTTTTTCTACGTTACAGGAGAGTTCACTGTGGAGGGGTACATGAGGAAAAAAGTAGGACGTAAAACCAAAGAGACTCAATCAAATTTAAAAGAATAAGCCCCCCACCAAAAAAAAACAAAACCAACCAATGTTAAACAAAGCTGTTTAACACTATAATTGATAGTAAGAGTTACTTTGAGCTTTTAGCGGTGACCATTTCTTAATTGAGAGAAAGAGAGTTCTAACCTTAGTAATCTGGACTCAATATTGATATAAAAATGTTCAGTGATTCATTGATAAGTATGGCTTTCATTCATACTCATCAACATGCAGAAATCATTTAATAACTGACTTATTACATTCTCAGAGCACAATCCCCTGGTACACAAAAACCATGGGTAACATTTTTAAAAATCCTATATACTCTTTAGTCATACCAGCAAGGAAGAATACAGATAAAATTTTATAGAGGGCAAAAGGAAAGGTAAAGATTTACACATCAAAGAACCAATTGCAGAAGGGGAAGATCTATATCAGGTAAAGTAATAACTGGATCAGTAAATAGGGGATATTCATTGGAATTTGCAGACAGACAGAACAGGAACTAACCAGATAGCACCAGGTCTAAAGTTAGATGTCTCAGCTAAAGTAAATTGAGGTAATAAAGCTAAGGTAGAACTTCTTCCGTCATTAAACAGAGCTAAAATTGTGAGGGTCTCAGCTACAAAGAAAAAGGCTTCAGGTAATTCTGTGACTTGCTGTCTCAAGCAAAGTGGTGGCAGTACTCAAATTCTCTTACCATACCATCATGTTTCATCTGAATTTTTTGCTCTTTTAGCCTCTGACTGGCCTAAAAGAATTCACTATTCCACTAAACAATCACAAGCAAATCCTTTGACTTCCTCTTGCTTTGGGGGATAAAAATGTGAACTTTTTCCTAGGCTACTTATCTTATGCTGTGGGCAGATTGAAATTCTGAGACCAGGGTAGGCCCTAAATTAGGAATTACTCAAGTGGCTCTTTAATTAGCCCTCCCTATTTCTTTCTCTGTGCTCCTTTCCTCCATTCAGTGACTCTTCCTTCACCCTTACAAGTACTCAGGGTCGAACACCATCTGACAAATAAATGTTACTAAGGTGTTCTAATGATGTAACTCTTGGGTCAAGGGGTCCCCTCTGACACTGAGGGCCCAGTGGAGGGCTTCTCACTTTTCTAACTTGCTGCCCCCAACCAGTTGACCTGGGAATTTCAATTCTATGTTCCTTCTGGGTCCACATCTATTATTAGAAAAAAATCTCTTATTTGAAAAAAAAATGAACTGGATTAGATGACCTCTCAAGGTCTCTTTCAGTCGTGAAATCTCAAAATGTAACCAATCAATCAGTCAATCAAATAACAAGTACTTATTACTGGTCTACTAGGTGTCAGGTTTGTTGCTATTTGTTGAAAATCAAGTACAAAGAATGAAATCATCACTACATGCAAGGGGCTTGTGTTCTAATGGGAGAGACAACAAATAGATGCTAAATTTATACACCATAAATATAAAGTGAATAAGTAAAAATATGTGTAGAGTACTTAAATACGAAGTATAGAGAGAGAAGATACTAATGGGGGTGGGGGGAGGGAGATCAGGAAGGGTTTCCAGCAGAATATGGGGTCTGAGTTTTATCTTAAAGAAAGAGGGGGGTGCTTGCTTCAGCAGCACATTTACTAAAAATTGGAACGATACAGAGAAGATCAGCATGGCCCCTGCGCAAGGATGACACGCAAATTCATGAAGTGTTCCATATTTTCTTCAATGAGGGTGGGTGGGGAGGGAGGAAGGGAGAAAATTTGTAACCCAAAGTTTTAAAAACACATGTTAAGAAAAGAAAAAAGAAAAAGAAAAAAAAAGAAAGAGGGGGGCTTTAGGAGGTAGAGTGTCATTGTGTGTGCAATAGAAGGAAAGCCAGTTTGGATGGATCTCAGAGTGCAGGAAGGAAAGCGTTATACAATGGATCTGGAAAAGTAAGTTAGGGCCAGGTTTTATAAGGCTTTAGAGGCCTAGATAAGCCACTTGAATTGGTTTAGGAGGGGAATCACATGGTCAGATCTTCTCTTAAGGAAGATCCCTTTGGTAGCAGCATATAGGATGGACTGGAGTGATTCAAAGCTTAAGGCAGGGAGTCCAATTAGGAGGCTGTTACAATAATCTAGGTGAGAGGTGATGAGGGCCCAAACTAAGGTGGCTGGATATGAGATAGGTTGTAAGGTAGAAATGGCCTGTGAAACAACCAACGGGACAGATCAGGTGAAAGAGAGTGAGGAATATAGGACAATGCTGAAGTTATGAATTTCGCTGACTGGAAGGATGGTGGTGCCTTGGGCAGGAATAGGGAGGGACATGTGGAAGAGGGGAAAATGTAAGGGGATAAAAACGAGTTCAGTTTTAGATAGTTGGAAGTGTCCAACAGGCAATTGGTGATGTGAGACTGAAGCTTGGGGGAGAAACTGAGGCTAGAGAGAAAGAACTGGGAGTCATCTGTATAGCTATGACAGTCCCAGGGGAGCTGATGAAACAACCAAGAAAGAGTATAAGAAAGACGAAAAAAGGGCCCAGAACAGAAGCCTGAGGTACACCCACATTGAAGGGCTGTTATATAAATAATGAACCAGGAAAGAGGCCTGAGGAGTTGCCAGACATGTGGACTGTGAACCAGGACAGAATAGAACCACCAAGACCCAAAGGGGAAAAAGCATCCAAGAGGAGAGGATGATCAAGCAGAATAGAGGCAGTAGATGAAAACTGAGAAAAGACCAGCAGAGTTGGCAATTAAGAGGTCATTGATACATCTGAAGCTAGTCATTTCAGTTGAACGATGATGTTGAAAACCATATTGCAACGGGTTGAGGACTGAGTGAAAGGAGAGGAGACGAAACGGAGGCAGTGAGTTTGGCGAGATATAGGAAAATCGCTTAAGGGGGTTTTCAAAGATGGGGGAGATGGGTGTGTATGAGAGTGTTAGGGAAGGAAATAGTTGAAAGAGACTGAAATTTGAGAAAGAGGAGGGGATGACTGTAGATGGAATCTGCTGGAGAAGATGAGAGGGTACGAGACGAAGTGTCCAAGCAGAAGGGTTGGCCTTGGCAAAATGAACAGTCATCTCTTTGACAGATACTGGGGGAAACCCAGACACCACTCCTGGCAGCCATCATTAGTGCTGTGCTCTACAGCTATGGCTTTGTTCCACTGATGTGCACTGGGTACCTTCTCCTCACCTAAATCTACTTGCTGGGCCTCAGCCCAAATCACTATCCCTCACAGTTTGACTTTCCTCCAGGAGATGGCACTCTTTCTCTTTTTCTCACTAAACTGGCCCATTTGGGACAAGTCTTCAAGACTTTTTTTTTTTTTTAAACAGGTCAAAACTGAACACATCTCCATTACTCTTAAGTCTTCTTTGGACATAGTCTTCATAACCCCAAGTCTCACATCTACTGAGGCTTACGGGAGAGAGGAAAAGAGGAAGGGAAAGTGGGTATGATCCCTCCAAGTGGGTTTTTGTCTCCATCCTCCTTATAAGCTTATGGTAAATGAGCAGATTCTACCCCCTGGAGCCCTGTCCCTTCCTACCCTCCTACCCTAGCAGCCCAGAGTATGCTTCCCATTTCTGCTGGCACTTCCTACTGACTCTTCTCGGTACAAGGCACACAGTTACTGTCTTTCCAGTTGTTCCTCATTTCTCCTCTGGGGGAGTTGGACTGGATTATTTAAATTAAAACAGGGTTGTTTCTTGAAGGACCTCCAGGAGAGAAGAGAGGCTTATAACTGGCTGTACCTAGCATGACAGCCTTTGCTAGGAAGAGGGACACTTGCAGTCAGTGCTACAGAACCTTAGTTGTATAGGGCCCTTTATGGTTTACATAAAATTTTCATATCCATTACTTGTAAGAAAGAGATGTGGAGGTTTTAGTAACCAGCACACAATATGAATGAGTGAATGAAAAAGCAAATTATTAAAGGCTTATAACACGCTAAGCACTGTGCTAAGCAACGAGGATAGAAATACAAAAGTAAAGACAGACCTTGACCCCAAGGGAGAGCCAACACACATAGGGAAGTAATGGCCTGGGGGGGGGGGGGCACTTTGGTCCTAAAAGTTACAGGGATGGCAAGTGACACCTTAGGGCAGGAACGTGGCAGGGTTGATTTAATCATGGTCTACAGTTCCAGAACCTGAAGGAAGAGGCGAGGTAGGGTTACAAGAAAGTTGATGAGGTTGCTGAAGAGGCGGCTGGAAAGGAGAGAGTGAAATCAAGTATGATTGGAGCTTTTCTGAAATCGTGGGCACATGGGGGACAGTCTGCGTACGTGTCAAGTTTGTGAAATGCCTCTTCTCCCATCTCAAAAAAAAAAAAACAAAAAATAAAGATGGCACCTTTGAGCTCATGACATATGAAGATCATTTAAGAAAATAGGGAAATTTGGCCTGAAGAAAAGACATAGGAGAGAGATGCTGTCCACATATTTGAATGATTGTCACATCAAAGAGATCAGACTTATTCTCCTTGGCCCCATAGGGTAGAACTTGGGGCAAGCTGTGGGAGTAAGTTGTAGAGAGAGTGAGGCTTGATGTAAGGCATTGAAATCTATCCAGAAGTGGAATAAACAGTGGCTGAAAACAGACTTCCTTTAAGCAAAAACTGGATAAGCCTTTATTGGGTATGTGATGGAAGAGGTTCTAGCTCAGGTGTCAGTTGGCTAAGTGGCCTGTGAGACCCCTTCCAACTCTGAGATCCTGAGAATCAACGTTTAACCCGAGGGTGCTTTGTGTCCAAGACATGGTATAAGAAACACCATCAGGGCCATGGAGGGAAAAAGAGGCAGACCAGTCATGTATCAAGAAGAAGGGATAACAGATGGAAGGCCTGAACATTGCACTTTGGACACAATGGCCAAAATCCTAAAGGAAGCCACCAATGTATTAGTAGCTCCTATATGGAGAGCTCATGGGAAGACGAGGACAAAAAGTGACTGAGAAGGTGAGTACCTGTGAGCATAGGTGGTGACTTGCCCCAGCAGCAGGAGTGGTCACATGGATTCAACAACAGATCAGTGGAATTCAAGAAACCCTTAATTTCGTGCCCATTATGTGCCAGGCCCTGTGCTACAAGTGGAGATAGAAGCACCAAAATGGCAGCTCCTGCTCTCAGGGTACTTCCAGATAGGAAGAGTTACAAAGATGCCAGAAAGAGGGATTTGGGTCCCATATAAAGAAGGATGATCACATAAAAATGGGCTGCCAGAAGAAAACTAGGAATCTCTGGTTCTAAGAAATTAAGACTGAAAGACTAAAGGCTGACTTATTTTGTTGAACTAATTATTATCCTACTTGTAGGTGGAAGATTATACTAGAATAACTTCTTCAAGTGTCCATCAGCTTATCTAAACTTTCCAAAATTGCCCCAATTTGATTGTGTAAATTTGTTGAACCAGTTCTCAGACGTTAAGCACTTAGATTCTCCCCAACTCTGGCCAAATGACCTTTAAAAAGGAAAATGGGGAGTAAGGTAGAGTTAATTTATTCATCAAAGTATTGAGGTTTAGCTCCAAAGACTGTGTAATGGTGGGAATTTCAGAATCTCTGGCACGTAGGTAGAAGTTGTACTGTGGGATGAGTCAGGCCAATATTTTCCAAATGAAACTCACATAATATTAGTAGGTAACATTAATAGGGTGCTATGAGGTTTGCAAAATGTTTTATATATACATATATGTAATATTATTCCATTCAAGCCTCACCAACAGCCCTGTAAGAAATGTACTCAAAATGTGTTCTCCTCATTTTACAGATGGAAGAAACCAAGGCTGAGAGGTTAAGTTACTAAAGATCACATAGCTCGCAAGTTTCACATGGGCAACTACACTCACCCTGCCCCTGCAAAAGGTTGGCCCTGGGACCACCTTTTTTTTTTTAATCCCTGCCTGCATCTAAGACCAGGCCCAGCTGAAGCTAATCTAGTTCCCACCCACACTTCTGTTTTAAACAAACCGTAGCTTTGGAATGTTTTGCTTTGCTGGCAGAAGGCTCAATTTACAAAGATCTCTTATGAACTCATCTCAAAACAGAGCAAATGAAACAAGAGATGAAGTCCCAGCCTTCTTTTGCTCAGGAGGGAAAAGGAAAAGGGGGAGGGAGAAGTTTGAGGTGACATAGTGAGTTTTCAGAAAATGCCTTTTTATGACTTCAAACAAAATCAGCTCCTGGAATGAGAGACCATAAGAGCATTTTCTTCTTCCCTTATACTATTTTGTCAATGTATTTCTACAGTTGGCCCAATTGGAGAAGTTTGGGCCTTGGTATTTTTTCCCTTGATTCCTTCGGTTATTATTGTCTCATTACACAGTCATTTGTACACTGTTTTGGCAGACATTTACTGTTGCATAAATTAAGGTCACAGAATCTCGTTTTGCCTACAGGTCTTTATGAAAATACCAGCAACATTTTTATTTGAATGTCAAAGTTTGTCAACCATTAAACTGATGGATTTTTCATTATACAATCCAATAGAAGAGGCAATCTTCAGTTTGTATGCAACATTACTCCGAGAAAAAGACTCATCGTTGAAAAATCCTTCCTGCTTATGCTTAAAAAATGATATTCCTTTCACGTGAAAGCCACATGTTTTCAAGCTATCTTTCTACATGAATTGTTCCATTAATATGCCTAGCACAGGTAGAGCATACTAATTCACTTCACCTGCCTATTCACTAGGAGAAAAACTCACTCTCTAGTTTTAAACTCTTTCCAAAT